CGCTGAGGAGTGATGGCTTCTGACCCCCTGCCCAGCCCCTCAGTGCTGCCTCAGGGCTCTGCTCCATCTTCCCCAACCCCCTTCCCCTTCCGACACGTGCTGCCCATGGCAAAGACCCCCCATCTCCCACCCAGACCTCCTGTGTGCTGCGGTTACTGGAGCAGCTGACTCAGGCCACAGCCCTGTGACATGCTTCCTGTTTTTTTTTGTTGTGTGCAGCTCACATATTCATCTGTTGGTGTATTATTTCTTTTATATCTGCTTTGATTTGTGTTATATAAAGCGTTTTTTCTCTGGGATGAGTTGCAGCGTCCTAAATCTTGGGCATGATTTGCCCTTGGATAGGGAAAGGTTCTACCCCCACAGGGTGGTTGGGCACTGACCAGGCTCCCCAGGGTGGTGGTCACAGCCCCAAGGCTGACAGAGCTCAGGGAGTGTTTGGACAATGCTCTCAGGGACAGAGTGGGATTGTCAGGGTGTCCTGGGCAAAACCAGGAGTTAGACTGATGATCCTTGTGGGTCCCTTTCAGCTCAAGGTATTCCATGATTCTGTAGTACACTGTGGTGTGGCTTTGGAAATCCCAGCACAGACACATCCAGCCAGCGTGACCTGACCCATCACGTGGCTCCTGCTGGCACAAGGAGTGTGTGTGGGACTTCCAGGGTACCCTGATGGACCCACTGCACAGCCCCACACAAACATCCTCACGTTCCACCCACCCGGGATGTGGAGCCAGGAGAAGAGGAAATCAGGCCATTCTGCCACAGACAGTGGCAGAGCTGTGCCGTGGTACAGCTTGGCAAGGACACGGAGCAGGGAGAACCCACTGCTCCATCCTCAGCTTCCCCTTCTGCCAAGAGCGGGAGGAGGCTCTCGGTGGCCAGTTCTGCCCCGGGAGGGCAGAGGGGTAGGAGGCAGCTCAGCTGGCTTGTTACCCTCTGATGTTGCAACATCCCTACCCTTTGGTCCTTCCCAGGCCTTTGGCAAAGGATGAGGTCCCTTGGCAGGTCTCAGGTGCCTGCCCTCAGCCTGGACTTCCAGCACCAGGAATGTGACACAGCTGTGACCATCCTCTGGGATGGGTCAGGCACGGAGACCCTGGGGGACTGGGGAGCCCAGGGGCCCCAAGGAGGTGACCTGGCTGGGGATGGTGACAGTGCTGGGCCTGGCTCCCTCCTGGCTCCACTCTCAGCTTTGCCTGGAACCAGACACACAAAAGCATCCTGGGAGATGCTGCTGCCTCTGTGTGGATACTGTGTGCCTCCAGCTAAGCCAGCTGCCCTGCCAGGGAAGGAGGGCAGAGCCAGGCACTGCTGTCGGGATCACAGCAGGGCACTGGATTTCCCTGTCATTCCAGGCCAAGGGGAAAGTGTGGCAGATTCACTCAGGGTGGGGAGATGCTGATGGGAAGGGCTGGTGGGTGCAGGCTGGGGTTGAGACTACAGCTCTGCTCCTGCCCTTGGCTGCCCAACTCCTTTTAGAGTGACAGAATCATGGAGTCATTAAGGTTGGAAAAGACCTCCAAGATCATTGAGTCCAATCATTCCCCCAGCACTGCCAAGCCCACCACTAACCCCTGTCCCCAGGTGCCACATCCACATGTTTTTTGAACATTTCCAGGGACAGTGACTCCACCACCTCCCTGGGCAGCCTGTTCCAATGCCTGACCACCCTTTTGGAGAAGAAATTCTTCCCAATGTCCAACCTGAACCTCCCCCAGTGCAGCTTGAGGCCATTTCCCCTTGTCCTGTCCCTTGTTCCCTGGAAGCAGAGCCTGATCCCCACCTGGCTCCACTGTCCCCTCAGGGAGTTGCAGAGAGTGAGAAGGTCCCTCTGAGCCTCCTTTTGTCCAGGCTGAGCCCCTCCAGTTCCCTCAGCCGCTCCTGGTGCTCCAGACCCTTCCCCAGCCCTGTACCCTTCCCTGGACACTCTTCAGCCTCTCAATGTCTTTCTTGAAGTGAGGGGCCCAGAATTGAACACAGAATTCCAGGTGCCTCAGCAATGCATCTATCAGGGCTATATGTGCAGAATGTCAGGGCTCCTCCATCTTCCACCCACGTGGCAGGACACGGTGGGAGATGCCTCTCCCCAGCTCCGGCCCAGTGAGCTTTCAGAGGAGATTTGGCTGCACACTGGCCCTGCTGGGAGTGGGAATTGGAACCCATTTCAGGATGCAGTAAAACCTTAATCTGCAGCCTAATCTCTGTTGCGCTGCATCTGTGCAGCAGCCAAAAACGGCAGATGAGAGGGCTGTGAAGGGAGGGTTGGGACAGCAAAGGCCACTGTGAAGAGCCAGCGGGTTTGCAGGAGGGGCAGGGGTCTTTGCTGGGGCAGAGGGAGACGGGACAGCAGGTGAGGGACCTCCTGCTCATGGTAGGAGACACCCTGGGAGCAGGGAGAACACTGGGGTGTGGGTCCTGATCACCTGAGCAGTGTTCCCAAGGGCATGGAGCAAACGCTGGGAGCACCTGCTGAGATCCAAGGGGAATGTCTGGGATCAGGGCTGAGCTCAGCAACATGGGAATGGCCACGTGGGCAGCAAAGCCACCACAGCCCCAGGGGCTCACACCTCCCAGCCCACCAGGAATCCTCACTGGTGCCCTGCTCCCTTCCCATGGGGAAGCTCCTTATCTTGCTGGGCTGGAAGTGCTGATAAGCTGAGGCCATATTAGCAGGGGACAGGCTGAAAGACAGGCACAAGCCCAGAGGAAATGTGACAGCACAGCCTTGTTCCAGCAGCAGCAGAGCTGCCAGCAAAGGCTCAGCTCCTGCCACTGCTCAAGGGTACAGCCAGGGCCAAGGTGAAAGGCTCTGCTGGCAGAGGGAGCTGCAGGATCAGAGGCAGGAAAACCAAACCTCAGGAGTGGCAGCTCGCTGCCCAAGCTGGCAAACACAGCATAACCAGTTTCCCCCTGAGCTCCCCAGCAGCACAAAGAGCTCAGTTTTAGCTCTAACCTGACTCAGGACTCCCGGGTTGGAGGCAGATCCATCCCTGAGCCACAGGGAGCAGCAATGGCACCACACCCCAGTAGGGTGAGCTGGGCACGTCCCAGGGCCATCCCCATCCCGGTGGAGCAGAGAGGGAAGGTCACAGCCAGGATTAGCTGAGCCAGGTTCAGCAGGGCTGCACCTCCCTCCAGCAGGGCTGGGAACGGGCTCAGCTGGGATGCAGCAAGGACAGGGCTTCTCCCAGCCCTTCCTCAAAGCTCAGCTGTTTTCCCACCAGGATTTGGTGGGATGTAAAAGCCCAGCTCCATTTCCAGCCAAAGGTGGCCGGGTCGTCCATCCTTTCTGAGACACACTTGGGCCTTTTCTCCTTGGGGGGGACCAGAAACCCCAGGAGCCCCCCAGTGACCCATCCATGAACCTGAAAAACTGACCTTCAGCTCAGAGAATCCCAAAATGTTTGGGGTTGGAAGAGCCTTAAAGCCCATCCAGTTCCATGGGAGGGGACACCTTCCACTAGCCCAGGTTGCTCCAAGCCCTGTCCAACCTGGCCTTGGACACTTCCAGGGATGGGGCAGCCACAGCTTCTCTGGGCAACCTGTGCCTCCCCATCCTCACAGGGAAGGATTCCTTCCCAATATCCAATATAAACCTGCTCTCTGTCACATTGTCCTGCAGGAAGTGCTGGTGAGGCTGGAGAGGGGTTCACCTCTCCAGTGAGGAGAGCAGGGAGTGTTCCCAGGGCTCTGCTGCCCTCAGGTGTTGTTTTTTACTGATATCCAAATTTTCCTAGTCAGCCTTGCACTAAGTGGCGCTTCTCAAGTGGTGTGGTTGTGGTCCAAAAAAAGGCCTTTGCACTTGCATCAATTTATTTTATTTTATTTTTACCTTTCATGTAGTAAAAATCCTGCTTGAAAAGTGGCTGAGGAACTGGAAGGTTCCAGTCCACAACTGCCTGTGGATAAAATTTGGAATCTGCAAAGCAAGGAAACAGCAGCTCAGCACTCAGCCTTCAGCAGTGCTTGGACCTGAACTGGCTACTAATTAATATTTATATTCATTTTATTAATATTAATGTTTCTGCTTTGGGCTGCACCTGTCACTGCCTCCCCACTCCCTTTGCTTCTCTCTTCCCAGTGCTCAGTGGGAGCAGGATAACACACCCCGGGAATGTATCTAAATGAAGCTGCAGAGTTGCCTGACAGCCCAGAAACCTTCAGAGCCGCGTGGGTGCTGCTGTAGGACCCACAAGGGTAACACGCACATAACCCGCAAAATCCCTGGTTTTAATTAAACTGTGCCAAGCACCTCCTTGGCTACCTAATAAATAATTTAAAGCCATTATATGTTGCAGGGTCACCACTGAAAGGGCTTTTTTGACTCATTACAGAGCTCTCAACATTCCACTAACCCTTATATAACATTCCATTAACCATTACTTCTGCCTAAGCAATTTACATCACTTCCCGCACCTCGAGGCTCAACAAGAGGGTCTCCAAGATAAAGCTGACATTGGAAAGGACCTCAAAGTCCCTCCAGTTCCAACCCCCCCTTGCCACGGGCAGGGACACCTTCCAGTAGAGCAGGTTGCTCCAAGCCTTATCCAACCAGGCCTTGAACCTCTCCAGTAAACGCCCTCTAATAAACACCAACTCTGCCTTGATCTCCTCCGAGGTAAAAGGGATTTTACACCCCCTTGAGCGCCCCCGCCGTGTCCCCCACAGAGGGGGAGCCCTGGGAAGGTGAGAGACGCCCCTCCATCCCCAGGCACCCCCTCGGGTGCCCCGACCGCAGCGAGGTGCGGCTGCGAGCTCCACTATCCCTCCCCGAGGCAGCCCCGGAGCCCCCAATGTCGCGGGGGGTCGGGTAAGGACGGCCCCGGCTGAGTCCTCCAGGGGGAGGTGCCTCAAGATGGCGCCGGGCGGGAGGGCGGGGGAAGAAGAGCCACGTGATCCCGCGCCGCTCAATCAGCGGCGGGCACGGCCGGCAGGGCGGGAAAGGGAGGTGTCACGTGTCCCCTATCAGCCAATCAGCGACGGGGCGGAGAGGCGGAGGTGTCACGTGCGCCCCGCGACAGCCAATGGGCGGCGGCTGGCGGCGGCGCCAAGATGGCGGACGATAAGGTGAGTGGGGCGGATCGGGGCTGAGGGGTCTTCCCCGGCAGGGCTAGGAATCATCTCTGTGTCTCCCGCAGGACTCGCTGCCCAAGCTCAAGGACCTCGCCTTCCTCAAGGGGCAGCTGGAGAGCCTGCAGCGCAGGGTGGAGGACGAGGTGCAGGCCGGCGTGGGGCAGGTAACGCGCGGGTTCGCGGCGCTCCCTCTGAGGGGGCGAAAACAAACTCTGGGGAAAAACAACTCGCCCTGTGTCTCCCCCGCCATCTCGCCTCACTGTGCCTTCCTCCACCCCGCAGGACGGATCCCTGCTGGCATCACCCTTCCTCAAAGGCTTCCTGGCGGGGTACGTGGTGGCCAAGCTCCGGTTTTCCGCCGTCCTCGGCTTCGTGGCCGGCACCTGCACTGGGATTTACGCCGCCCAGAACTACGCCGTGCCCAACGTCGAGAAGACGATTCGGGATTATGTGAACGCGCTGAAAAAAGGTCGGGACTAGCGCGGAGGAGCCCGGAGGCAGCAGGGACTGCGGGAACGGTGCTCCTCGGGCAGCGGGCACAGAGCAGACCCGGGGCTCCCGGAGGCACGTCACCTGCACCCTTCTTTTCCCTGGAAAAGGGCTTTACATCACAGCACTGCGGCACTCAGGGGCTGCGATGGGTGTGCACGGGGCATCACGGCTGTGGTGAGCACTCTACTAACCCACAAGGGGGCCCCGAGGGGCTGCCAGCTGCCTTTTCCTCTCACCCTCACCTCCCCCGTGTGGACTGAGGGGCTGCTGTGCCCTGCCACAGTGCCCAGGTCTCCTCTTGCACTACAAATGTAGCAGGGAACATCCTGCCCGAGTCAGGCTCATTAAATCCTTGGTTATTTGGTCTCTTCTTCGGTATTGCAGGGTGACAGTCTTGTCTGGCCTGTCTGCACTGACAGCTGGAAATGGGAATGCTTGGGAATGCTGCCGAGGGGCCGCTCCGGAGGGGGCTGTGGGCGCTTATGCTGCTGCTGTCTGTGGCCATCTACGGCTCCCACGCCCCCCTCCTGACCCTGTGCAAGGTGGACGGGGCCATCCCCTTCAGCTCCACGTCGGTGGTGGTGCTGGTGGAGCTCACCAAGCTGGCACTGTCCCTGCTGTCACTGCTGGGGGAGCCACCGGCGCCCGCCGCGTCCTGGCACCACGCCGCGCCCTTCGCCCTCTCGGCCCTGCTCTACGCCGCCAACAACAACCTGGTGGTGCACATGCAGCTCTTCATGGACCCCAGCACCTTCCAGGTGCTCAGCAACCTGAAGATCCTGAGCACGGCGCTGCTCCACAGCCTCCTGCTGCGCTGGCGCCTGGGCCCGCGCCGCTGGCTGGCCCTGCTGCTGCTGCTGGGGGCCGGGGTGTGCTACAGCTGGGGGGGGCTCCGGGGGCACGGCGTTCCCGGCGGGACACACCTGCACGTCACACCCGTGGGGCTGGTGCTGCTCTGCGTGTACTGCCTCATCTCAGGCCTGTCTGCTGTCTACACTGAAGCCATCCTGAAGGCGCAGCCGCTGCCCCTCGGCCTCCAGAACGTCTTCCTCTACTTCTTCGGGGTCCTGCTCAACCTGGCGGGCTCCCTGTGGAGCAGTGCCGAGGGGGGGTTCCTGCGGGGCTTCTCCCCGTGGGTGCTGCTGGTGGTGCTCGGCCAGGCCCTCAACGGCCTCATCATGTCGGTGGTGATGAAGCACAGCAGCAACATCACCAGGCTCTTCATCATCTCCTGCTCCATCCTGGTCAATGCCCTGCTCTCTGTCGCCCTGTTTGACCTGCAGCTCACCCTGCTCTTCTTCGTGGCCGTGGCGTGCATCGGCCTCGCTGTGCACCTCTACTACGGAGTCACATAGCCACTGCCTCCCTCCTGCGTGTCCAGGCAGCCCCAGCCCTTTCTTAGGGTTGGGATTGTTGCTGCTGGGCGCCTGCACAGCTCCAAGGACCCCCCAACAAGGAGTGCCCTGTCCCTGCTTCCAGGGGGAAGCTGGGTCCTGCTCCAGCCTGGCCAAGCTCAGTGCCACAGGGTTCCCATGGGATCAGGTGTGCCCAGCCTCAGGGCGGGTCCTGAGCCCTGTGTGGGTGCCTCATAGTCTCAAGCTGTGCCAGGGGAGGTTTATGTTGGACATCAGGAAGAATTTCTTCCCAGAAAGGGTGATTAAACATTGGAAGGGGCTGCCCAGGGAGGTGGTGGAGTCCCCATCCCTGGAGGTGTCCAAGAAATGACTGGATGTGGCACTCAGTGCTCTGGTCTGGTTGACAAGGTGGTGATCAGTCACAGGTTGGCCTCGATGATCTTGGAGGTCTTTTCCAACCTCAGTGATTCTGGGATTCTGTGTCCCATGTCCTCAAGCTGCTTCTCCACACCACAGTGGCCTGGGAATGCTCCGGCAGCGGTTGGCTCTGCCAGCACCCTCTGCCAGCCCAGAGTGGCACTGGTGCCATTTCGGCTCCCATGGATGCTGCTTCCCCCTTCCCCATTCCTGGTGCTGTTTCCTGGGGCCTCTCCCACTTCCACAGTTTTCCAGCCCAGCTCCTGGCTGAAGCCCTACTGTCCTCAGGTCCCGCTTCCCCTCCTTGGACGCAGTGTCTGTGTGGAACAGACAGGGAAGGGGGGATATGGGAACTGTTTCACCTGCTCCCAAGAGGGAGACATCTCCTGGATTTGTACCGAGTTCCTGGCAGGCAGAACCCACCCGGGGTATTAAAGCTGCAGTTCAACAGCATCCGTGTGTCTGTCTCTTGTGTTTGTCCTGTGTCTGCTCTCCCTGCAGGAGGGGATCTGTGTCCCTTGGGAGAGGTTTGGGGGCTGGAGGTGTGTCCGAGCCTGGTGACAGTCATGGGTGGGGGCACCTGCTTTATTCCACATGGTCCCAGCTGGGGGTTGCCAGTCAAGTGCCTGGCACAGAGCAGTTTTCCCTCCCTGGGACAGGTTTCCACAGGGAGTAGCAGCTGGAGGGGAGGGGCAAGAGGGGAGGCTGTGCCCAGGTAACCGCTGGGGCTGGGGCTGGTGACCCTCGTGCTGCCAGGCCAGCTGTCCCCACACCCTGGGAGGTGGCTCAGGGGGTCTGTGTGGTGGCATCCGCCAGGCACCGCTGCCTGGCCTCCCGCGGGTGCCGGCTGTGCTCGGCGAGCTCCAGCGTGTCCCGGAGCAGCTCCTGCAGCAGCGCCCGGTGCCGGCGCTCCAGCGCCTCCCGCTGCTCCCCCGCCAGGCGCCGCTGGTCCCGCAGCACCTGCGGGATGCCCGGGCGGTCTGGCACGGCCCTGGCACCGCCGGGAGGTGAGTGCCTAGCCCTCCCTGCCCACCTGCAGCAGGTGCTGCCTGCAGCCCTGCAGCTCCCGCTGGTGATTCCGCAGCAGGGCCTCCAGGTCCCACTCGGCCGCCTCCCGCTCCCGCAGCGCTGCCTCCAGGCTCAGGCCCAGCACAGCCACCTCCTGCTGCCAGCGTGCTGTGTCCCACTGCGGGGGACAGGGACAAGGGCAGGGCAGCTTTGGGGTGTCCCTGCTCCCTGGAGCTGCCCTCGGGAGAGCAGCACCAGGGCAGGAGACCCGAGGGCAGGGTGGTGGGGTGTGGCTGTGCCCACCTCCCCGCTGTGCTCCCGGGCTGACCCAGCCCCGGCCCCGAGCTCCTGCTGGAGGTGCCGGCAGTGCCGAGCCCGCAGCCGCTGCCGCTGTGCCCTGGCCAGGGCATGCTGGACCTCCAGAGATGGGCATGGCTGGCACTGGCTCCCCGCCTGGCACAGAGTGGAGCAGTCTGGGATGGCACCGAGATCCAGTGCTGCCAGTGCAGGGCGCTGCAGGCACTGCATGGGGACCCTGTGAGCTCCCACTCACCGTGTCACCCCCAAGCCATGGCCGTGGCTGTGGCATTTCACTTTGGGACAGCTCCTCCAGCAGCTCCTGCCCTGCACTGGTTGGAGCTCTGCTGTCCCCTCCCTGGCTGCTCCCGCTGTCACCCCGTCCTGCATGGGGACAGGGGAGGAGGATGAGTGTGACGTGGAGGCTGAAGAAAGCCACTCAAATGGAGGAGGGAGGCCTTTCCCACCCCGTAGAGCCATGCTCCGTGCCCACATATCTGCCACCCAGGTGTGGGATGCGTGTCTGGCCCCGTGCTCCGGACCTGCTGGCTCCAGGGTGGCACTGGTCTGGGTCCCAGGCTGGCCTGGTGCTGCATTCCCTGCAGAGACGTGGTCCTGTGGGAGCAGGACAAGATGTTACAGGGACACAACCACGATTCAGGGCTTCTCCTGCACCTGGGCTGTCCCTGGGTGAGGGGGCCTGGCCTGACCTCTGCCCACCTTGGCACTGGGCTGATGCATCTCACTCGACTGGAGCACCTCAGCCGCCGCCTGCTTCTTCTCCCACCTTTGACTCTTCAGCACCTGGAAAAGGGGGCTGGGGGTCCTCGCTGGGATGCTGCAGACCTCCAGGCCTGGCACAGCTCCTGGGACACATCCCACCCCTCCATCTCACCCCCTGGGCAGCCCCACCCCCAGCCCTCAGTGCCTGACAAGGGCCTTGGCACCAGGATGGAGCCCAGACCTCACCCGAGCAGGGGAATCGGTGCCATCTTGGTCCCACATGGATCCAGGGGTGTTCCCCCACCTGCAGCTCCCTCAGGGCTCTCCGCAGCTGGGCCACAGCTGTCCTCTGCTCTGGGAGGGCAGTTCCAGCCAGGAGCTCCATCCGCAGCCCTCGGATCTCCCTCCGGCGTGCCGTGATCTCCTCCGCAGGGTCCCAGAGCGTGGCAGAGATGGTCTTGGCCAGCCCCTTCACCCTCTCAGCCAGCCCCAGGGCTCCCAGGATCTCCTCCCTGGAGGTGTCTGGGAGAGCAGCAAGCCCTGGGTAGGGGCCATGAGGGGACACCAGCACGGGGGGTTCTGGTACGATGGGGATGAGTGGAGCCAGTGTCCGGCTTCCAATGACCGCGAGTGTTCCCGGGACTGAGTGCCAGGCATGGGGCAGGATGGGGGGAAACATCAGGGAAGGGGCACCCCGAAGTGTGTCCCTGTCCCAGGGGCTACCTGGCAGTGACACACACAGCAGCAGGAAGGTCAGGCTGTTCCCCTCCAGCAGCCGCTCCACAATCCAGGGCTGGCAGCCCGTGTCAGGTTCCCTGCACGTGGAGTGAGAGGCACCCTGGGATGGCACTGGCATCCACGTGCCAGGCAGGCTGAGCCCCAACCCATAGGAGCCCAAGGATGGGTTGGTCACACTGTGAGGGAGCCCACATCCCCAAGGGGAGGTGACAACCCCTTTGGCTCCCAGCCACGGGCTCCCTGTGGGGTGTTTGGGTCTCTCCTGCTTCACCTCCAGGTACAGAATCCCCGCAGCCCATAGCAGGCACACAGGGAGCTGGAGGGGGACACGGCTCAGCTCCAGTACGTACAGCCTGGGGCAGGGCCCCGTGGCCCCCGGGGACACCAGGATCCTGAGGGCCGAGCGCTGGCACCTGCCACCCTCCAGCTCCCGCTCCACGGTGAGAGTGAAGAGGCTGCCGGCCCTGGGGAGAGCCATGTGTGGGAGCAGAGCTTCCAGAGCCACTCCAGCACCCCACAGCCCAATCCTTCCCTGCCCTCACCCCTGCACTGGGTTCCCATCTGCGAGGGGCTGCCGTGCACACCCCTGGAACAGCGCTGGGATGGCACCCAGCCCCCTGGCATAGGCACTGATGGCAGCTTGGGCATCGGGCACGGCGATTTCCGTGGCCTCCTCCACCATCCTGGAAGCAGAGAGGGACAAGAGTGAGCGAGGAGGGCCATGGGCACCCACCCCCTGCATGCCCTGGGGGATATGTGCTCCCTGGGCATTGTGTTCCCTGCCCAGCCCTACCCTCGACATTGGGGTTCCAGCCCCCCAGGAGCACCTGCCCAGCCATGGGGCACCAGGTACCTACAGGCCCAGGGGTGTGACATCCATCACTTGCAGGGCTCGGCCATCAGGATGGAGCAGGTCCCAGGCTTTGTCGTGGGTACTGACCTGGAAAGGGGGACTGTGTAAAGGCAGGGGGGCAGGAAGAGGGGGCTGCTGGCATCCTGCACTCCCCAGGGGCCTGGGCTGCTCGTGGCTGTGCACAGGTGAGGGCTGAGAAGGGCTGATCCTGGGGTCACTCCCAGCTTTTCCGTCCCTGGGGCCAGGGAAGGGCAGAGCCCTGGGAATGCCCTGTGTGGAGCTTGGCAGGTCCCTGGCAGCATCCCAGAGCCAAAGGGCAGGGCCCAGCAGGGTGGCAGGAGCTGGCATCACTCCTGTGCCAATCAAGGTCACACAGAGTGACCTTCAGGCCACAAGGATCAGTGACTGGCAGGAAAAGCCCAGCCATGAGATGGGCAGGAAGGGGTTTGAGGGCTCCCCTTATCTCACTAGGCTGCTGGAGCCTGGGAGATGCTCCATGGGCAGCCAAGGCTTCCCACACCTGGCAGGTCCTGGAAAGAGGTGAGAAAACCTGTGATTCAAAGATCTCCAGCTCCTGGTCACCCTCAGGATGAGGGTACTGGATGCCAGTATGTAATAAATACTATAATATATAATATATGTAATGTAATACATGCCCTTGGTACAGCAGGGTCTGGGCAGCTGCAGAGAGGAAATGGGACCCTCATTCCATGACATCCTGCCTTGCTCCTGCCATACCTGGACCAGGCTGACTGTCTGCAGTCTCTGTGTGTCATCCCCCAAGGCCTCCAGTTCTTGGAAGATGGTGTCAATCACCTGGGGACAAGCTGGGAGCTGTTGGTCTCACACCAGGCAGGATTGGGGCCCGTTGGGTGACCCAGGAGCCCAGCACAGCTGTGCTGTCACCCCTCCCTGTCACCTCTCCCCTGTGCCCTCACCTGCCAGATGACACTCTGGAAGGGCAGCTGTGTCCCAGGGCCGTGGGGGTCCCACAGCAGCAGGGACACGCTGTAGCCAAGGGGAACCAGGGCCAGCTGGGGTCTTGCCAACTCCAGGACCTTCTCCTGGCAGGAGAGACGTATCCAGCAGAGCAGGGATGGCATGGCACAGAGGGCATTGGCATGGATCAGGGCAGGGCAACACATGATGTGGCACAGGTATCCCAGCACAGGTATCCCAGTATGGATGGCGTGGCATGGCACCGCACCGAGAGGGAACAGGGAAGGGATGAGAAACACCTACAGAGCCCCCCATGGGACCAAGCCCCGTGTCCCAGCAGTGCCTGTGACCCCCGAGGAGCTGGCAGTGCCCCTGGGTGTCCCAGCCCGTGGCTTGGGCCAGCGTGTCCCTGGCACAGAAGGACTTGGGGCTCACAGTACCTGTCCTGCATCCAGGCGGAAAACACCATCGACAGCCAAGCTGCTCTCCTGGCACAAGGGATAATGTTCAGCTTTCCCCCATCCCAGCACGACCAGTGCAAGGTAAAGGAGGAACTGGGCACACTGGGATGGAGGTGGCAGGGGTGGCACAGAGGGCCTGGCATGGGTAGTGATGAGGGGAGACCTCCTCCCTTCCCCTGCTGTGTGGGAACCCCCAGGAGCCCCCAGGAGTGTAAGACAGGACCTGCCCAAATCCTCAGCAGCCACCAGGGTCCCAGGAGAGGCAGGCGGTGGGACAGACCCCCTGCTCCCACCTGGTCCCCCAGGGCCCTTCATACCCTGGATGTCCCTGTCCCTGGGGGATGTCCCTGTCCCTGCCACTCTCACCTGGGGCTCCTTCCCAGCGAAGAGGAGCTGCAGGGTGTCCTCAATGCCATCCGCCCAGCTCTCCCCCGGCCCTGAAAACGCTGAGTGTGGGGTGGGGTGGGCATTACCCCTACCTGCCCACACTCTGTCCTGCTCCCCTTGCAGCCTGGGGGCTTCACATCATTCCCGAGCCCTCCCACTATGGCTCAGAGCCACCAGGGTGGGGAGGACACTCCCTCTCCATCAGCCCAGGCCAGGCCCACCAGCATGGCCAGTGGTTCCAGTGCCACCACAGCCGTGGTGGCCACCCTGGTCCCCTGTTCTCTGCTGTGGGGGTTCAGGTGAAGGCTCTGGCATGTCCTGAGCTCTACCTGCTGCCTGGTGGAGTCCCACGGCCGCTCGCACGCTGACATCCTGCTCAGCCTGCTGGGATAGAGGGGAATGAGCCGGGTCCTGCCCCAGGATGGAGGGGGAATGAGCTGGGTCCTGCCCTGGGATGGAGGGGGAATGAGCCGGGCCCTGCCCCAGGACAGAGGGGGAATGAGCCAGGTCCTGCCCCATGCACTCAGCACCCACCAGGCACTGGATGAGTCCCCAGGGAGCTGGGCAGCCCCTGGCCACACCACACCAAAATCAGGGGACAGATCCCTCCAAACTGCCCTGGGATGTCCCCCACCATGGCACTCACCTCCCCAGCGTCCATGGGCACCTCAGCAGGAGCAGCAGCAGCTGCTGTTTTGGCCAGGGCAGGGGATGGGGTTACACAGGGTGGTATCCTGTTCTCCTGCATTATTGATGGGAGTCAGGCACAGCCATGTGGGCAGAGCCAGACTCAGCCTGGAGGCACCCTGTTCCAGAGGCTGAGCCCTGCTGGCCAAGGAATCAGCAGGACCACGGGAGGCAAGTGGGTGCCTGGAGCCACTCACACCATTGGTGTGCTCCTGGCTCCAAGAGGGACATCTCTGCAAGTCATGGATGGGAGATGAGGGACCTTGGGCTGTCATGAAGGTTTTCTAGGCATGAGAAGAGACCACAAACCACAGAAACACATTTACTGGAGATGAGTCACAGCAAGAGAGCACAGAAGGAAATGCCAAAGCTGAGGGTCTCCGTGGTCTGTGGAAACACAGATGGTGGGAGACAGGAGAGAGGTCCCAGGACAGCCCCACTCCTCCTTTCGGACAGGACCAGGCACGATGAGGAGATGCACATGGATCCCTCCCTTCGCCACCATTCCCCATGTAGAAGACAACCAGTGCCCTGCCTCCCCAAAACCCCCCTCACCTGTGCCTCAGGTGTGAGGGTGATGCCAGGTGGACACAGATGGAACAGGCAGCACTGGGAGCTCCATCAGGAGCAGTACTGGGGGCATGTTGGGGCTTGGGCAGTTGGAGTTGACCACAAGGAAAACCCCCCTGGGAGAGTGCAGCCCTGGGACAGAGCATGGCATGGGGCTTTGGGGGGTTCCCCAGAACTTGGCTGGGCAAAGCCACAGCAGGATAATACTGTGGGTGCCTGCACCCCAGGCCCTGTTCAGCCACCCTCCTGCTCCAGCCTTGGGTCTTCCCACAGTCTGGTTTTCCTCCATTCCCAGCCAGCCCAGGCTGTGTTTGCTCACAGGTCACATATACCTGTGCACAAACAGAGCAGAGAGGGAGGGACACAGAAAATACCCAGGAACTTCACCCTGGAAAATAGCCAGGACCCTAATGAGAAGGCAGGACAGGTCAAGGGGATGAAGAGCAGGGCTTGGCCAGGTGAGCTCTGCCAACCTGCAACCAGCCCCTTCTTTTAACAAGGGCCTGGAGGGACAGGACAAGGGGGAATGGCTTCACACTGTCAGAGGGCAGGGTTAGATGAGATATTGGGAAGGAACTCTTCTCTGTGAGGGTGGGGAGGCCCTGGCACAGGTTGTCCAGAGAAGCTGTGGCTGCCCCATCCCTGGAGTGTCCTAGGCCAGGCTGGATGGGGCTTGAAGCAACCTGGGCTAGTGGAAGGTGTCCCTGCCCACGGCAGAGGGTTGAATGAGATGACCTTTAATGTCCCTTCCAACCCAAACCATCCTGTGATTCTATGATTCCCCCAGTCCCCATTTTCCCATGCCTTTCCCTTCCCCACTCGCCCCCTCCTTTTGATCCTTCCCATAAGCATTCCCCATTGTCCTGCATTCCTCTGCTCTCCCTCAGCACCCCATAATCAATTTTCTCTTTACTACGAGGTATTCTCTGCATAACCCAGAATAAACCCATTTTCCTCTTTTCACAAAAAGTTTCTGGTTGAACATCCTCAAGGTCACACCAGAGGGACGTGTCCATTGGTGCCTCCAGAGCTCGGGTCTTGGCTGCTCCTCCTCGTTGGCATTTGCGTGGGGGGGTGTTTAATTTAGTTATTTTTCTGTCTTTGTGGGTTTTCTCTTGTGCTGAAGAGCAGCAAAGCAGCATCCTCACAGACCAAACATCCTGGCCCAGGCACAGCCCCAGGTGAGGAGATGGAGGACCAGCAGAGGGGCCACAGAGGCTCCAAGGATGGCTGGAAGGGTGGCTACAAGGTGTTGTGGGGGTCTGGGCAGGGAACACCAGACCCCAGAGAGTTTTGGGGCATCTGAGTGCTGCCAGTGGGAATATGATGGAGCTGAATTCTTCTTATCTGGGGCAGGTGACATTGCAGGGGCAATGGGGGCATATTTGGGCTTGGGGAGCTGGAGCTGGCCACAAGGGAGGGTACAGCCCTGGGACAGAGCATGGCACGGCGCTTTGAGTGAGGGGTGCCCCAAAACCTGTCTGGGCAAAGGCACAGCGGGATAACATTCCCCAGGGCAGCCCGGGCTGGGGACACCGAGAGAGCCCCTCACTTGGGGGGCCTGTGAGCCTTCCCTTGGAGCTCCTGCGTGGAAGCACTGCTGGGAAGGCTCCAACATCTCACCCTGTGGCAGGGCCTGGCCCTGAGCAGGCAGAGGGCCCCTGCCAGGCCCAGCAGGGCCAGGGCCACGCAGAGCGGGGCGACCACGGCGGCGCGGTGACACCGCAGCACCGACACCGGCACGGCCACCACCCGCCAGCCCTGGTAGCCCGGCGGGGACTGGCACGTGTAGTCCTGTGGCCAGCCCTGCCCCAGGTGCCCCATAGCTGCCAGTGCCTGCAGCCCCCCAGCCCCAGAGCACGAGCAGTTGAAGGGGTTGTTGGCCGCAGTCACGTCCTGCAGGCGCCCCAGGAGCGTCACCTCATCCAACGGCAGCTCCGCGATGGAGTTGTTGTCCAGGTGGAGGGTGTCCAGCACAGGGCAATTCCTGAGGGAGGGGACGGCCTGCAGCAGGTTTTGGCTCAGGAAGAGCTTCTTCAGGGAGCTGAGGGAGATGTCCACGGCACGGAGGTGGTTGTGGCTCATGTCCAGCACCTCCAGGTTGGCAGGCAGAGGTGTCAGCACTACCTCCAAGCCAGTGTGGGACAGGTTAAAGACCCGGAGGGATGCTGGCCACTGGCAGGAGGAGGATGGGTCTGCCATGAGCTTGTTCTGGCTGAGATTGAGGTTCTGGAGCCCCTGCAGCAGCTGCACACCCTCACACACACTGTGGTAGGACGTCAGGTTGTTGTGCTGCAGACTCAGCACCTGGAGCTGAGGGAAAGCTCCCTGGCAGAAGGCAGGTGTCAGGCTCCCATCCCCGAGGCTGTTTTGTGCCAGGTCCAGGGTGTGCAGAGCTCTGAACACCTTTCCAATGGCACAGGGCAGGCTGGTGACACTGGAGCTGGTGACAGCCAGCTCCTGCAGCATCTCCAGCCACATGCTCAGGCTGGAGAAGGCCTGTTCATTGCCCATCAGCGGGGCAGATGTCACGTTGTTGAAGCTCAGGGACAATATGGGCAAGCTCTGGCCATCCATTCCATGCCAGTCACCCGTGCCCTGGAAAACACAGCTGTCAAACGCCAGCTCCTTCACGTGGGTGTAGGAGAAAAACCTCAGCACACGGGCCAAGAGGATCTCAGGCACCAGCACATCAGCAATAATTACTTTCTGGATGATGAGGGAGCCCAGAGTCTCAATGGCAGAGTCGTCCAGGTCCCTGATGGGGAAGGCTATGTATTTCTCCAGCTCTCCCCCCCGAAACTCCACCACAGTTGCAGCGAGGCACTGGATGAGGCTGCCCGCGGTCTCCTCGGTCAGGTTGTAGCACACACAGTGCTCCTGGGTGCGGTTGAAGTAACACCTGTTTCTTCTGCCTTCTGCCCCCAACAGCCCCAGCCCCAGGAGGAGCAGAACAGCCACACTCATGGTGAACAACCTGAAAACGAGGGGGAACGGTGAACAGCAGGTAAGGGGACTTGCAGGACTCCCATCCTGGCTCAGGCACGTTCTGCCCTGCAGAGCCACCCCTTGGGGACATGGCACTGTCCTCATTGCTTCTGCACACCCCATGGGCACCCACCTGGCTACTGAGGGCTACCTGACTGGCTACGTGACTCGGGGCAACACTCAGACCAGCAGCCAACACCCAGGAGCTACACCTGTGCCACCCTCTCTGTGGCAGGGAGCCAATGGCACTGGTCCCATCCCATCTCAAAAGCAGGGTGGCTCCTGAGGCTCTGCACTGTCCTGCCTGGGCTGCCTTGTTGCAGGCTCCTGCTCCTAAGTGACCAGGGAATGTCATGGAATCGGGAGAAACTAGAAATGCCGAGTTACGGACAGGGAAGCCAGATGTGTCAGTCTGACCATGGGAAGGGAGAACCCCAGCTCTGTTTGTTCCTCTCTAATCTGGGGCAGGAAATTGCAACAGAGGGCTTCATGGTTTCCCTCTTCTCAGCCAGTAATTTGATTCATCACCAGCCCCCAAAGGGACGGTGGAAAATGACCTCTGAGGGTCCCTACAGGTCCCTGTCAGCACCAGGCACTGCTGACAGGAGAATCTGGTCACCAGATTGCAAAAAAAGCAGCAAGCAGAGATTAAAGGCTCCTGAAAATGTGCTGACTCAGCTTTGTAGTCATGGGGAGTCTTTGGGGGTCCCCACTACAGCCTCCTGCTTCTAGCAGGTCTGTGCCGGCACCAGCCCCGATCAGCCACAGCTTTTTTTGGCCACATCCCAAAATCCTCCAAGGATGGATCTCTCCATACCTCTCTGTGTTGCGGGGCTGCACCACCCTCCCGGGGAGAAACTCTCCTCCAGCACCTGCACCAAGCCTCCCTCACTTTGGGGGGCAGCGGGATCAAGGGTGAGTTTTTCCAGTGACTCACCAGCCGGCTCTGAAATGTTTCCTTCCCTCACGTCTGCTTCCTCTAACCGCTGCCAAATCCAGGGATGAGGCAGGGCCAGGCACTCCAAGTTCTCAGCTCTCTCCGGCACCTGATCTCCCCCTGCCTCGGGCCGGATGAGCCCCGGTGCCTGCGGGGGCACCCCCGTGTTCCAGCCGCCGATGGCGCTCCCGCAGCCCGCGGTTGGATCCACGCGGTCGGGACCGACGGACACCCCGGGACCGGCTGCCGGGCACTGCCCCTGCGCCCTCGGCGTGACTTCCTGACAGGGCAGCGCCGGCTGAGCCACGGGAAGCAATGCGCCGTGCAGCAGCCGCCCGAATCACCTCTGCTTCGCTGCCCCGCGGGCTGGGCAGGGCTGTGGTCAGAGTGCCAGCGCTGCTCGCTTTCCTGGGAAGGGGCACGGAGTGGAGTGTGGTCAGGATTCCCCAAAGGCAGTCTCAGGATCAGCCATTTCCTTTCAGATGCTCTGGGATCGCTGTGCCTCAGAGCCCACTGGCAGTGGAGAAGGGTACAGGACTGTGATAGCTGGCATCCAGACCGTCCCCAGGGTTGTTCCACATAGGATGGGGATGGGACCAGCTCCATGCTGTACAGGGCACTCCCTCACCTAAGGCAAGCTGACAGCTTGGCCAAGGAACTCGTATCACTTGCCCCGTGCTCCTCTGGCAGCTGGTGGCTGTGCCTGCTCCGAGGGGTTAAGAGTGCAGACCACCAGGCATTTGGAAAGATCCAAGAGTGTTCAAGACACAGCTGGATGTGGCACTCAGTGCTCTGGTCTGGTTGAGAAGGTGGTGATCGGTCAAAGGTTAGACTTGATGATCTTGGAGGTCTTTTCCAATATCAGTGATTCTGGGATTCTGTGATCTCTCAGGAATTTTTTTCTTTCCCAGGGGTTTCTCTGCCTGTGTTGGATATGGAAAGGGCTTCAGGAAGGCAACAAAGCTGCATGGTTGGACACTGCCATTCCCAGGTTTTTGTTGGTAATGTGGCATAACACATTAGTGCCACAACAGTTGGGGCTGGAGCTGCCTGTCCCACACTCTCTGGCATTCCTGTGCAGAGGAGTTCTGCAATTTCATGATTCCTCTTCTCCGTCCTTGGGTTACATGAAACTCCTCTGCACAGGAAGGATGTGGAGCTGCTGGAGTGAGTCCAGAGGAGGCCATGGAGATGCTCCAAGGGCTGGAGCCCCTCTGCTCTGGAGCCAGGCTGGGAGAGCTGGGGGGGTTCACCTGGAGAAGAGAAGGCTCCAGGGAGACCTGAGAGCCCCTTCCACTGCCTAAAGGGGCTCCAGAAGAGCTGAAGAGGGACTGTGGATAAGGGATGGAGTGACAGGACAAGGGGGAATGGCTTCCCATCGACAGAGAGCAGAGTTAGATGGGATATTGGGAAGGATTTAGGCTATGAGGGTGGGGAGGCCCTGGCACAGGTTGTCCAGAGAAGCTGTGGCTGCCCCATCCCTGGAAGTGTCCAAGGCCAGGTTGGACGGGGCTTGGAGCAACCTGGGCTAGTGGAAGGTGTCCCGGCTCATGGCAGTGGGTGGAATGAGATGAGTTTAATGTCCCTTCCATCCCCAACCATTGTGTTATTCCATCAAACTGCTGCTGTGTGCACTGTGGAAAAATCACCGCTGCCGTCTGAGCTCCTGTCACTGCCCCTTTTGGCAGCTCTGTCAGCTTCTGGCCACCAGCTGCAAATTCCCCAGACGCTTTCCTGAGGAAGCACGAGCTCCTCTGCCCCTCAGCCACCACCACCACCACCACGGTGGAAGATTCCAGGGCCCCGAGACTCGTTGGTTCGCACTTCTGGCGAATCTTTGGGCTTTTTTTGGCCTCAGCACAGGCATCCCACCCAGCACCGGCAACGCACACCTCTCCGTGCTCGGGGCGGGCTGGGGGGCCGGGTTCCGCATCTCCCCGCCCCCGGACCGCCCCGGGAACGGCCTTTTCCTCCTTCTCCTCCTCTTTCTCTTCCTCCTCCTCCTCCTCCTCCTCCTTCCCGATGTGGGGCCGGCGGCGGGGCCGGCGCGGGGCCGGGCGCGGTGCGGAGGAGCTGCGGGCCCTGCGGCGGGAGCGAGAGGCAGGTCAGGGAGGGTTTGTGGGTCCCCCCCGTGGGTGGGAGGGACGCCCCAGCTCAGCCTTGTCCCCTTAGACCCTCCCGCTCCGTCCGGCCGCGCATCCCGCGGTGCGCGCAGTGGTGGCACCGGTGGGTCCTGCCCGCTCGGGGAAGCGTTTTACAGCTTAAAAATTTAATCCCGCCAACAATTCCACATTTCGTCAGCCATCCTGCCGCAGTTTGGGTTTTCCAAGATCCCGCCCGTGTCTCAGACGGGATAAAAGGAGGCTCAGGGGGGACTTTCTCGCTCTCTACAACTCCCTGACGGGAGGGTGGATCCGGACGGGAGTCTCGTCCCAGGGAACGAGCGACAGGACAAGACAAGAGAAAACGGCCTCAAATTGCACCAGGGGATGTTTAGGTTGGGTATTAGGGAAAATTTCATCACCAAAAGGGTGGTCAGGCATTGGAAGGGGCTGCCCAGGGCAGTGGTGGAGTCCCTATGCCTGGACTTGTTCTCAAAAAACAAGTAGACATGGTACTTGGGCCGTGTTCAGCTGGTGGATATTCAGCTGGAATACAGAGTGGTATTCAGCTGGAGGTTGGACTTGACGATCTTGCAGGTCTTTTCCAACCTTACTGGTTCTATGATCCTTCGTAAAAGCAGCCTCGGGTCCCTGCTGCTGGTCCTTGCAGCTCTGTCCGGCGCTCCTGCCCATTATCCCAGCTGTGGATTTGCACATCCCTCCCAGGCCTGCACAGGGAGGAACGAACAGTTTCTCCTCGGGTTAAGGGAGGAATAAGGGGCTCTTGGGTGGGATGGAAAAGCGTCCTGCCCTAGGCGGGTGGTGACGGGTCCTGATCCGATTGCAGCTCTCAGGAAAGCCCGGCGGGAGGAGCAGTTGGTCAGCAAGCGGCTTCTGCGGGAGGACAGGGCGGCAGAGGAGGGGGGACAGGATGGAGCAGACGCCGTGCCGGACCCACTCTCCGAGGATGAGGTGAAGAACATGACGTTCTCTGTAGTGATGAGGGTCTCAGGGGTCTTTCTCAGCCTCAGCAGGTGAAGGAGGCTGGGCAGGGGTGGCTTTGGGAATGTTTCTGAGTTGCTGCCAGACACAGTAAGGTTCTCTGTACCCATCTTTATGCCCTGGGTTCTTTTGCCTCCAGGATTAATGGGAAGAAATTTTAATACTGGTACTGCTGAAAGCTCACCTATGTTTTGATTCCGTGGCCAGGTCCTCGAGCTGCTCAGAGCTGTGCAGAGGGGCTCGGAGGACAGGAAGGGATCTCTCGGCCGCCTCCGCCGGGCTCTGCAGAATGAGGACACTCAGCAGAAGTTTGTCAGGTCAGCCCGGCTCTGGTGTGGCCGTTACCATGTCCCGAGGGGCCCTTTGTCCTGGTGGCTGGGTGGGTGAGAGCAGGGTGGGAGGTGACAGCAGCCTTTGGGTCCCACCAGGCTGGACGGCAGCATCCGGACGCTGACGGGGCTGTTCACCAGCAGCCTGGCCGACATGCAGCTGGAGGCAGCCCGTTGTCTGCACGAGCTGTCCCACTCCAGTGACCCCACTGTGGCTGAGGCCTGTCTGCCCGTGACCTCCTACCTCCTCACGTACCTGTCGGGGCACAGCGTGGAGTTCACGGTGAGATCCGTGTTCTGCCACCAGGGGATCCTTTGGTAACTGTTGGTATTGTCCTCTCTTGGCCAAACCTGGCTCACATGGGAGTGCTGGTGGGAAGGGGCCTTCTGGAAAGCCTCTGGTCCAACCTTCCCCTTGGAGCAGAACTGTTCCCAGTGCCCAAGTGTTACAACCCACCCCTGAAGGTGTGGTAACTGAGGTTCTTGTTAATGATAGACCCCTTGGGTGGGATTAGAGTGACCTGACACTGAATGACTGGGGTATATATATATATATATATATATATATATAAAAATATATATTTTTATATGTATATGGCAGCTTTATTTTAGAACAATTTGATGGCAATGCAAAGGAGGTATGTAGATGTTTCGGTTATTATCTACAGAAATATAACAATATAAAAGTATAAAGATATCACTTAAGAAAATATATAAGGAAAAGAAAATAAAAATAAGAGTAGATAGTGGAGAGGAAAGATATCACCACCAGTGGATCCAGCGATGAGACTTGACTGTTGCAATTTCAATGCCCTCCAAAGTGGAAGTGATCAGATCCCAGCCTGAGCCAGACAGAAAAAGAACCAACTGAAGCTGACACAGCTGGGAATGGGGTGGCTGGAGAGTCCAGCAGTATCTGTGTGTCTGAATTCAGCTCTGCCCTGCTCGGAGGAGGGTGTGGGACCTGGGCTTTGCCCAGGGGAGCACAGACAGGGTCACTGCTCTGGTGTGTTGCAGGAGCTGTGTTTGTACACACTGGGGAACCTCGTAGTAGAAAGTGAAGCTGTGAGGAAGCAACTTCTGCCTCAGGGCATCATTCCAGTGCTGGCATCCTGCATCCAGGTGGGTGAAACAGCTCAGCCACACTTCTCCTCCTGCCCTGCCCCAGAGAGACTTCTCTGGCTGACAGCCCTGAGTGAGCAGCCCTCCTTCCAGCCCTGGCTGTGGGCACAGACCCCTCTGCAGGGAGCTGTTCCCTCGAGTGTGAGGGTCACTCCTGGGCTCTCCTGCACTCCATTTTTGGGGCTCAGCTCACCACCTTGTGCTCCTCTCCAGCTGAATCTCTCCCACCCAGTGGCTTGCTGATACAGTGTGTAACACAGGGAGCTGCAGGCCTCTCCCCTCTGCCTGGGTTGGGGCAGTGCTTTGCAGGTCTGCATTTGGGCTCCTAGACCCCTACAGCCACAGCCCAGCGAGTGTGGGGAGGGGGATGGCTCAGCTTTGGTGTGGCCACAGGTTCCTGTGTCCCTCCCAGTGCCCTCTGTGCCCCCTCTCCTCTGGGCACAGTGGGACTCAGCTGCTGGGTTGGGTCTGGCACTGTGGGCCCCTGGCTTTGCCAGGAGGGATCAACTCTGTTCTGTTTGATTGCAGTCCCCACACGAGGCCGTGCTGGAAGGTGTGGGTTATGTCCTCTCACAGCTCCTCCAAGCCAAGGAATCACCCATGGAGATCATCCCGTGAGTCTGAGCTTCTGAATCCTGCACCAGGATGGGCCCTGGAGCTCAGTGTGGTATTTGTGTGCCGGG